TCAGACAGCTAGTGGTCACTTTTAAATGAATCCACTAGAGGGCAGTATAATAGTTTTCCATGTGAGCTGTCAGTTCAGAGCAAAGTTTGAATGAATGAAGAAATTTCAGACATGTTGTTAAAAGTGGCTTATTTCATGTTGTGTTGAATAAAAAGGTTTGAGTGAGTTGTCAGCAAAACCTGGAGAAAAACCATCACAGTTGTAACATAGTTGGATCAGGATTTCTACCATGTTTGGCCGCAGCAACAGCTCCTCATTGGTGAGTATCCCCGCCTGTCACGTGGGAAACCGGGGTTGAATTCCCCGACGACCAGAGTACTACCTTTTTCACACTAGTTCCTTGACTGGCAGAAGGGACTCCAGCATTCCCCTATATTCCTGATTGGATTCAGCTTGACAGTCGTGACAAAACTGCAGTTTTTTCTGTCGCTGGTACACCTAGGATACGACACTCAGAACAAGCAGCTTCTTTAGAGAGGATTTTAGTTGCTTCTTGTCCTTGTGGACAATGTCAGACATCTGACATCTGTTTCACATAACTGTAATTATCTATGACACAGAGTTTTAGGTTTTGTTATCAGTTCGCCATTATCAGCAAAATTACATTAAATACAGGTTTACCCTCTTTCACTGATGAATCTAAAAACATGACTTAAAATTTCTGAAACGAGTGACAAAACACAATGAACTTTTGCACGATATTCCAATTTTCTGAGGTGTGCCTGTACTTCCACTGTATGTCTACTGAATACCAGGAAAACCGACCTAAACATGCAGACTTTTGTAGACAAAGATGAACAATCCCAATTGTAAAAAACAAAAAGTTCCTGCTGGTATGACATGTCCCCCGGTCATGGCCTGAACTGGTGTGTGTGTGCATAGGCGTCATTGTAACCGGGGACGCCGGGGACATGTCCCCGGCAAAATTTGTGATTGGCAACTGTGCCCCCCCCCCCCCCACCCCCACCCCACTTTCAAAAAAGCCTGCTGATGAGGATTTTTGTTTTACCAGCTCAGATCTTATACCAGGGGTCGGCAACCTGTTCCCATCAAAGAGCCATTATTACCCGTTTCCCATTTTGGACGGATCTTAATAAGCAGTGACTTAAGTGAAGCAGGCAGGTCGCGCTAGAAAATTTAGTTTAAAAAGATATCATAAATGTTTTCCCCCATCATTTTTATTTATAAAATATGAAGTAAAAACTCACAATTTAATTTTCATTCATTTGTCATTAATATGTAGTCTACACCCGTGCGTTAAGTGGACCATCTTCCAGTAAAAGCAAAGCATCCAGCCCACCTCTCCAAATGCGTAAAATGTGCATCAGCCGCTAGTTAGGCGCGCCGCGCGCACCGTCAGCTACGTCAGCCCAGACAAGAGCAGAGCAAATAGATAGAGGATAATTCTGTCTGGATGTGGATGGAGATTACATTTTACAGCTGCCTGATCATCATTTAAATGTGTGACCCATCAACTGGCTTCTAGTCCACGCTATCAGCATTATTTTAATTGGTGTGTGTGTGTGCGCAGATAGGATTTTCAAACTGGGGGGGACAAAGTTCCAATGTACCCTCCCCCAAACACACACACACACACACACACACACACACACACACACACACACACACACACACACACACACACACACACACACACACACACACACACACACATACACAAACTATTGCAAGCGCCTTAACTAGAGCTCAGTCAGTTTGTGTAATTTCATCCAATGAAACGTAAAAACTAACACTTTTATATACGTGTTTGAAGCCATTATGCAGTGGAACGTTGGCAACAAAGCTCTGCCTGATCAACACTATAAATGATAAATGATCCGCACTTGTATAGCGCCTCTCAGAGTAAGGACTCCAAAGCGCTTTGCACTACAGTATATCATTCATCCATTCACGCACACATTCACACACTGATGGTGATGAGCTACGATGTAGCCACAGCTGCCCTGGGGCACACTGACAGAGGTGCCCCACTATTTTAATCAGTCATTTGTTATTCTCCCAATCAATTACTAACCAAAACCTCATGCTTTATGCTAAACATTAAATGATTTTCAGCATACCGATCTTTACAGAAAACATAAAAGCCCTAAAAAACTGCACATAAAATATATTTAAAAACGAAATTCACTCATCACTTAGAGCAGTGGTTCTCGAACTTTTCAGCCTGACCAACAGATGTTCCTTCTTATTTTTATGTTATTTAGAATTTGTCATATATTTGGAAAGTTTTTATTTATACATAAATATATAAATCTCTTTTTAAATTTTATATTTTACTTTTGTTATGATTATGTGGCACACTTGACTTCCATACATAACGCATCGGCATCTGCCTCTTTTTCACGTCTTTTTTTTACATTGTCGCTACGTCGGTCACGTTAGCGGTGTTTTACCATTATTTCTACATCCATCACATCCCAAAGAAGGTTAAACCAACATCAAACCCAACGTTTGGAGCTCGTAAGCTCCACACACCTCTTGTGCAGCACCAGCTGTCTGATGCTGCAGCAGCGTCAATCGTCCCGGCTGGATGAGTGAATTTCTTCATCAGAGTCAATATTCTGCTTCATAATCAGAGTCAGTCATGACCAGACAAAGTGATCAGTCAACAAAGACCAGACCTGCCGGAAATTATACGTTTTATCTAATATTTGCGCTCTTCATGTTGTGCGCGTCTCCTCCTCTCCCCGACTGGGAGCCTCTCGGTGGCATTTTTCAAACTCTAAAAACTCCCAAACTTTGCTCAGCCTGAAGGTTACACATCTCCACTATCTTCTGGTGTAAAGTAGTAACTTCATGAGGGATCATATTTGTAGATGAGACTTGTTAAAGTCAGCAATGAGGCTTTGGCGCTTATAACGAGTAAGTCCCAACACTGACAACAATGCACTGAAACTAGAACCAACATGCATAAACAGATCGGTCCCGCCTTCTTACACTGTTGGTCTTTTTTAAATACACAGTAATTGTTGCTTGCCTTTTTCGCTTCATCCTGCATCCTAGCAGCAACCACTTTGGCACCTCTGGAGTCAGTGTTTGTTTACGTCATGCTGCATTCACTGTAATTGGGAAAATGAGCTTCAAGCGCTTAACCTCCGATTTTGTTTTCTTTCTGGCCTTAGTTGGGGGGGACGGATCGGGGTCGATCTGAATCTGGGGGGGGGGGGGGGGGGCAGCCCCTCCCATCCTCTACCCTATCTGCGCACCTGCCATTAGGCATAGGTCGGCGGCCGCCTGGGGCCCCCTGGGGGCCCCTTATGTTGGGGAGCCCCCTAGCCCTGACCGCCGGCACCCCTCTGTTAATGCCACAATGGACTATTCCTTTAAGATGCCGATGCACAAACAGGAAGTGATTGGTAGTCATTCCAGTCCAATCCAGTTGGTGGCAGTAATGCAATAAATTGTTGTTTGCCAAGTGCCATAAGACCACAAATAATATAAGAAGAAAGCAGAAAAAGAAGAATAGTGGCGGGAGCGTCCATAACAAACTTGAAGCAGTAGTCAAAACATGAAGCATGAAATGGACTTATCCTAGTGGCTCCAATAAGAGAAAAAAGCAGCTTGCTTTTAAAAAGCTTTTATCTTCACTTCCGAAAGTGACATCGTTTTTCAATGTAAACATAAAAAAAAGAAAGAAAGAAAAAAGGAGAAAGTGAAAGACAATGGAAAATGTTTAAAGGAAGGAAAACATAGGCCACAAGGGAAAATAGAAGAAAAAAAGAAAGGCAAAAGCACAGGAGCGCTGACAGGAAGAAGTCACTCAAAGGGAGAGAAAGACAGGAAAAAAGATGAGGACTAATAAAAGGTGAAAACTCGTCAGAAGAGGGGAGCGTTTCGCAAATCCAGTTAAAGATAAGACTGTCAAAAATTTAGTGTAAGGGGGCCCCATGTCTGTGGTCACCTTGGGCCCCCAAATTGCTAAATCCGCCACTGAGTATAAGACTATAAATTTAAGGATGTCTTTAGCTGGAAATCAACTGGACATTAAATAACTGAAAGGTATAAAAGTTTGAGATGAAACATTTGTAGAAATGACTCATACATATATAACAGAAATAAGAGATAATTCTAAATCATTGCATGATGAATTTTTAAAACTTACTGGATTTTGTTCACAAACAGAATAAAGAAATGAATGTTTATCTCGACTGTGCATCATTTGAGCCTCAGTACAGTAACGGATCATAACAGGTGTAGTGCTCTGTCCAGTCGCCATACATTATCAGACTGTCATACCCGTATTTCACAGTATGCCTGTCTGACAGACTCAGTCAGTCAGACAGGCATACTCTGTCAGATCGTCATACTTTTTATTTTTTATTTTTTTGCTGATGGGTGGCATACACTGTCAGATCATCATACTTGTTTTTATCAACAGTATGACATCCTGATGGGTGATTTTACCAGTCGGATCGTCATACTTTTTGTTTTTGACAACAGTATGACATCCTGCAGCATTTATATTTTTAAGTATTTCTTTCACATGGATCATTGTAACTCTTTATAGTCCATATGGTCTCAGTAGCCATTCTTTAACGGACTCAATAAGAGAATTAAAGTTTTTTTAAATATTTTTTCATTTTTTTAATCTATTCTAGGCTATTTGAAACCTTTTGATCATTTGTTTAAATGTTATAAATGACCGGGAAAACTTGTGCAAAAGAAGTTCCTAATTCCATTCCAGAAAATGGCAAATAAAGCAGCTTTTTAAAATTCTTTTTCAATTCTAATTGCAAAATATAATTTATGAGTAAAAATAATCCAAACCAAATAAAACCTGAAACAGCCCACATGCGACCCCCCCCCCCCCCCCGCGCCTCTCTCTCTCTCTCACACACACACACACACACACACACACACACACACACACACACACACACACACACACACACACACGCACGCACGCACGCGTCTGTGGGTGGAGTCAGGCGCACATTTGCTCCTACTACCGTTTGGGCGCCATCTTGTTTGTAACTCCTCTACGTCAGTGGTAGAGTTTTTAGTGTTTGGGGGGGGGTGGGGGGGGTGCAGGGTCCGATTACCGTTTTGCTCCAGCTTTACTGGGAACTTCTCCCGGTCTGTAGATCAGGCGCGGACCGCCCTCTCTCCGCTGCTTTTCTATCAAAAATACACTCGGTTCCTCCCGACTAGACAGACATGAGCATCGAGACGCTCCTGGAAGCCGCCAAGTTTTTGGAATTGCAAGCCCAGCAACAACAGAAAGCACGTGGTAAGTTTATATTTAGATGTATATAAAATGACATTTTATACCCCCGTGTCACCTTGCAGATTTAGGAAGAAAGCAAACAACCATGGTTCTGCTCCAACTGCTCTGTAGATTATGAAAACGTGCCTGAAAACAACCGTTTACTAGCACGGGTTTAACTTTGTGTAGCGCATTTGAATAAAAAATACCAACAGTTCTAATAAATGTCCGCCAGGAATTTAGTTTTACTTTCCTATTCATTGTAGCAGGGTTTGAAGTTGGTTAGTGTGTCTTTTATTCTGAGTGGTGGCAGTGAAACATTCTGCTGCAGTGCCTCTGCATTAATAAACCAGCTCAGCTGCAACACGGGGGCTTCACACACGCACGCGGACATAATTATTCTGGATGTAACATTTATAATCCAAGGACCCAAACATGGAGGGATAAAGGGCGGTGGCACTGGGAATGCCAAACTTCTTTTTATATAAAGACCTGACAGGAATCAAATGTCTGCTTTACAAACTTCTGCTGACCCCCGGGGAGTTGCCATGGTTACGTAATTACTTGTTCTATGACACCAGTGTGTGACTACATGTTACCGACGATGTTTAATAAATCAAATCTGCTACCAGGTCGTCCTCCTTTCAGGCGCTTTCTAGGGGGGCTTTGAATGTCTGTCGATGACGCGTTATCAACAAGCCACGCCCTAATGTTTCAACATTAGCCGGGTCACGCCCACTTCACCACGTGCGCGCTGGGCAATCCCTCCCAAAGATTGTCTCTACTCAAGATGCGCCACTGCGGTATAAAGTCCATCAACAGCAAAATAAATTTTGAAATTTAAGACAGAGTTGTCTGTTGCTCAAAGACAGTAAATAGATAAAAAAAATCATTTTACATTCCTCAGATATACGAAATAATCCCAAAATAATTTTTATCTCTCAAGTTTTTTTCATATATCGGTTCAGTATAACACAAAATATTGTGAAATTTCATTGTATGGGTATTTTCTACTAAATAACAATGATGTGTCGAGGACGAGGTTTATTAAGGTTGTTTTTTTATGTCCCATAATTCAATTTAACTCCTGAAATTGTATTGTTTAATTTACTTATCTGGGGATTTTGCTAGGTGGCACAGCGTAACCATAGCAACCATATCACTGCCATAAAGATGAAGGTGAAAACCACATTAGCCGAGTACATATCTGTCCCTTCTGCTGATGCTCTTTACAAGTTAAAAATGCAATAATTAGAACTTTGTGGATTTTAAACTTCATTGTTTTTACAGACACAATAGTCTTTACTATTTACAATAATATATTTCTTTAATTTTCATGAAAGTCTGTAATCGGTCATCATCTAAACTAAGCTACAACAGCAGTTAAATCAAAGACGTGTAATTTATACACATGAAGCAGATTTTAAAAACCAAGGTCTTTATTTACGTCCAGTTTATCAAATAAAACTCATTCCAAGTACATTTTTAGTACTTTCTTCTGACAGAAGCATACTTAGCATGGGACGGTAGTATAAGCTGAGCACAGATTTTTGTAACAGGCTCAAGGCTAAGAAAGAGAAACACCGATTTCATTTTTTCTTCCCTCACAAACTGTTACAGGGAAGTAAAACTGTGTGCTAATGCAGGTTGGCTGCTAAATTATTCATCAACATGACATCTTGCTCAATTTGCAGTAAACGAGTGTTTGTTTATTCCTGCTCATCTGCTCACTTTTATTAGAATGACACACGTCTGATATTTGTAGTGAATGCAGCAGTAACAGCTCTGGTGGAGTTATCTGTTCTCTGAAAGGGCTCCGAGTGAGACCTCCTCTCTGCTTCCTCTCATCCGCTCCTCTTGCTTTGCTGCACTGGGGTGGTAGAGTCCTCCTCCTCCTCCTCTGCTGCTGTAGAGCAGGTCACTGTGTGTGGAAGAAAGTAGGCCAGTGTCTCTATGTGCTGCTGTAGTTATATAATATCTAAAGAAACGTGCCTGTTTTTAAGCGTTTTACCGCTTTTCTGAGCTAAAAGGTGCTGCTGTGTGTTTGTGCCAACATGATGACACAGAATCATCGGTCTGAGGGAGAAAAACACACCATATCTCACCAAAAGGGCTTCCTTAGTCAGCAGAACATCTTGTTCTTTGTGTTTTTTCTGTCATGATTTTTCCACAATAACACACACACACACACACACACACACACACACACACACACACACACACACAATAGCATCAGCACCTGTTCACGCAAATAAAATTAAGTTCATAGAAATCTATGCTTCGCAAAACAGAACAACTTGTTGACTATTCTCTCATTTAAAATATTTGGATCCATTAAGGTTTTGATCTTTTAGAACTTTGAACTCTTCTCAGCTTTAAAGGTACCATTCTGGTTTATTTCACTCAGCAGGGGGTCTTTTGTAACGTTCAGGCTTGTGAGGCATCTTCCGTTAAACCTTCTTTTAATCTAATTGAATGATTAGACACAGACACCTGTCTCGTTTCCTCACTCAGAGATCAGCTGCTAGTTTGATAGATTTAACTTCAGTGTTTTATTTTTTCTGTGATGCTGGCAGATGTTCTTTTATTGAATTGTCAAACTTCCTCCGTTAAAATGACCGTGATGCTAGAGATTATGGAAGGTCTCATTCTTCACATTATGTAAATCTGTTATTTGATTTATTTTCAGTAACAGGAGAGCTGTTAAACCATCATCAGCTATTTTTAAATAATTCTCTTTACTACATGTTTTTCAGAATGTGATCTATGTATTCAGCCTTTATTAGAACAAATCTCATCTAAATTCAGTTTAATGAATTCCTTGCCCATAATCACCACCATCCTACCTAGTTTCAGTCCTGAACCACACACACTGTGTGTGTTTGTGTAGTTTTTAGTGTCAGCAGGCTCTCACTCCTCCCGTTTCTTCCAGAGGATGAGCTGAGAGAAAAGCTTCGTCTGCAGCAGAAGACCGACTACAGCTACCCTGATGGGAACTGTAACTCAACAGATCACATCAACAATGTTTCTAAAGCGGAACCGCTCAGAGCCGAGTTCTGCCCAGCACCCATCCCACCCTCCATCCCCGTCGTCACCCCCGACCCTACGGCTTCGCCCACTCTGCCTGTTACTACACTTTCCCCTCCAGCTGCTCCCTCGTTGGCCTCCCCGCTGAGAGACCCACACTCCCCTCAGGAGCAAAGCGCTGCAGGCGTGCTGTGCTCCCCGCCACCCAGATCGGACCATTCAGCCCCTACTGACCACATGCAGCCCATACAGAACCACCACCATCACCTACAGCTCATCGAGCCAATCAACAACACTAAACCGCTCCAGCAGCTGGTTCATTGCTATCCTGGTTCAGTCGTCTCTACCCCACAGCACCATGCCTTACTGCCCCACCCGGGCCCTGTGCTTCAGCCCACTCCCCCACAAAACGCCCCCATCAGCCAGGGGAGTCCTACCGACGACAGCCGCCAGCTGGACAGCAAGAAGAGGCCTGGAGGGTACGTCTGAACCAGTTGGTTGTTATCAACGTTTATTTGGCCGTTTATATATATCAATTAAAACAAACCCAAAGAGCCCAGGTAGGATTTTAGTGTTTGTGTTTTATTTTGAGACATTTAATGTTTGGCTGTGCTCTGCAGGGCTGGCACTAGAGAGGTGCACAACAAGCTGGAGAAGAACAGGTGAGTTCAGGTCATACGAGAATCTATTTAAATATGACAGATCTGTTCTTATGGGAGGAATCAAACAGTGATGTGTTTAAATCTGTGTGTGTGTGTGTGTGTGTGTGTGTGTGTGTGTGTGTGTGTGTGTGTGTGTGTGTGTGTGTGTGTGTGTGTGTGTGTCAGACGAGCTCATCTGAAGGAGTGCTTTGAAACGCTGAAGAAGAACATCCCAAACATTGATGAAAAGAAAACCTCCAACCTGAGTGTGCTGAGAAGTGCTCTGAGATACATCCAGGTGAGTGATGGAGGATTGTTCTGTTTCAGTGTGTGTGTGTGTGTGTGTGTACGAGGTCTCAGCTCTGGTATGAAGTTAGAGAAATAGCTGCTGTCTATATATCTAGTTACTCATTTTACCTATCTAGGCCAACTTTTCCATCACAGCCTGCATTCAACCTTCATCAGATGTTTGTGTGTGATGATGAGGCCCTTGTACCCATTTAGTTGGACTCAGGATCGCTACAAAACAGTGCAGCCTCCATTTTTAAAGATTTCATGTTACTGAGTGAGCAGCAGAACAGGTTTTCCTGTTGGAGTTCAGAGAGACGGGCAGCTTTAAGTCTTCCTGATGCAGAAGCAGGGGTGGACCTTTAAAGCGCCCGAGCGCCAATGGCGCTAAATTTTCTCCTCGGGCGGTAAATACTTGACGACTTACCGCCCGGGTGGCGCCCAAGCCTTATTTGTCATTTATACACCGGCTTTCACCTACATCATGGCCCCGCCCTGTAGGAAGCTGCCGTTTTCGTTTCGCGCGCGTGAACCTGCGCGCCTCTAGCAATGTACTGCACTTGTACGATTCGTGCACGTACTGCATAATTATAGTCACGTGAACTATAAGTTCACTATTAAAGACGAAGTGGAACCACGCTAGAAACACACAAGCACGTAGGAAGATCGCGCCACCACAGGGATTGGATTTCTTGATGAAATCTCCGGCAAAAACGCTTTAAAACTGGTGAGGAGAAGCGAGACAGTTCAAAACGGTATGAAGCAGAGAAGCGTGTGCGTAGGTGGAATGATTCTTGGCGGTTTAAAGAAGACGGGAGGCGCAGAGAATGGCCGTGTTCGAGTTGAGCAGCGCCTCGCCTGGAAAACAGACGAGAGCAGACGGAAGCAGCAGGGGGCGTGGCTGAAAGCCGGCGTTTACCCTAACGCCAGGGACACACCGGCCGCGGAAGCGCCCGAAGCGCCGAGAAGCGAATCGCTCACGAAGTCCGGCCGCTGCTCGCCGCTCCTCAGTTCAGATCAGATGCGCCCCATTCGAGGTGCGCCTCGGCTCAGCTGTAGTTTTTCTTTTAACTACTTGGTGTCCTCCATTTCCTCTCTGCCTTTTCTGTGTGTGTGTGTGTGTGTGTGTGTGTGTGTGTGTGTGTGTGTGTGTGTGTGTGAGAGAGAGAGCAGCTGAAACAAACAAATTCAAACTTGAATACGTTATTATGTTTGTGAATGTGTACAAAATAAAGGTTTATTACATTTAAAACGGTTCAGTTGTTATTTTGACTCATTTTGGCAGTTGACCAGCGGGGCCGGTAGATTCTTGGCGGGGCCGGTAAATATTCAGAGTTACCGGCCCGGCTGGCCGGTTGGTTTTGAAGTTAATGTCCACCCCTGAGAAGAATTTAGATTTTCATTTAAAACTCTGTTAAAAGTTCTCCTGCTTCTGGTTTCTGTTAGCCTCAGCCCCTGTTGGGTGTTCTGCTCAGCTGTACTTCAGTAGAATTTGTGCTGCTGGTAAATGGTCATGAGTCACCGTGTGTGTGTGTGTTTTGGGTCTGGCTGTTGCTGTTGTAAAGCTCTGGTGCAAAGGTCTACGTCTGACCCAGTTTACTGTCATTGAAAGGTGTGATGCTGGTTCTGGTACTGGCCCGTCCTCTGGGAAACTAGGACAGAGCAGGAGCTCCATGTGATTAAAGAGCCTGCTGTGTGTGGTGTTCAGCCGGCACGTTCACTTACACGTTTACTTCTTAAACAGTTCCAGTCCGGCTGCAGGTATTCTCTTTATCACATAGATGCTTTTATGTTCGGGTTGTGGAGAGACAAACAGGAACTGGAAATAAAACAACAAAAAGAGTATTTGGACATGACTGGTGCAGACGTGTTTCCTGCCTGCCCCCCTCCCCACCTGTGTCCCTGTCCACTGCTGCCAACAGGAGGACGTGGGTGGAGCAGCTTCCACACAAAAACACATAAGAGGCTTTAGGCTCAGCATCACATTTAATTTATCTTAAACGTTATCTAATTGTTGGTTTGTAGTTTGTAGCATAGCCATGTTTTTTTTCCCAGAGTTTCTAACAGGCTGAGCAGCTCCACTTCCTCATATTTGATCTCAGAGGGGTGAGGAAAAGCCAAACCCATAGATGGCGTTTCTCTTTAACTTTAAATCTGATGCATCTAGGTCCTAGAGGGTTTCTCGTGAGCCTGCAGCGTAGAAACCTGAGAAGTAAAGTAAGCCGATGCATTAACGCGCCTCCTCTCTGCTCCCTCCTCCTTCCCCTCTGAGATTTTTTAAGGCCACATGAGCGGCAAGCACATGGCTACCCTGAGCTGCGAGACATAACCCCCCACACACACACACACACACGCTGGGCCCCCGCCCAGCTCTGCAACAGGCAGGACTCGCTGTACCACCAGGCTTATAACAGTAGGGAGGGAGCGTGGAGCGGTAAACACAAGGCTCAGTTTACTCCACCCCCTCCCTGACCCAACCTGTTCCTCCACTGCTCATTTCTGAATCCCAGCCTGAAACATGCCGTCATTCGGATAAAACAGGAATGCTGGGATAAATCTGGAAATGCTTGGATTTGATTTGATTACAAGCTCTCGGTTTCGTTGTGTTTAGTTTTGAAGTGAAACTTCAGCGAATGTTTTTTTTTCATTATGACAACACAGCTACAATAAAGGACCTTTGAGCACTTAGAGCTGAGCTAATATGAGGCAATTAGGCCAGCTGTGACTTAAAAACCCTTACATAAAAGGAATCAGTAACAAAGCTGGTATTCCCCCTGATAAACCAGCCTTTGGAAGTCAGGCACCATGTGAAGTTCTCCGTTCAGCCAGAAGGCAGAGCGAGACAAGGGCGCATGGTTACCAGAAGTGTCACAAGACCTGTGTGCAGCAGCCAGATCAGTTAGCATGAGCTGCAACGTGGCCGGGTGCGCTGCTGGCCCTTTAAGAGAACTCGGCGTGTGCTGCTGCAGGAGTGAGTCAGTCAGTACAGCTTGTATCACCCCCACCACCTCCTGTCCTCCCTCTCCCTGTTTTTAGAAGGCCATGTGCTCGGCACTCGCATTGCTTGTGACAGCGCTTTCAGCAGTGTTTCCTGTGTGTGTGTGTGTGTGTGTGTGTGTGTGTGTGTGTGTGTGTGTGTGTGTGTGTGTGTGTGTGTGTGTGTGTGTGTGTGTGTGTGTGTGTGTGTGCGTGCGTGCACTAATACAGAGTTCAGTCAATCTCTAATCTAGATTTTCACACAGGTCTCAGGTGAGGCTTTTCTTGTGTGAGGGGGGGAGCGTGGTCATGTGGTCATCAGCAGGTTGTTGGCACTTTACTTCCCACCGACCTGGTGACATGATTAATGTGACGATGAAGTCGTGTGTGATCCGTGTGCTGCAGACTTGGTTTACATGATTAATCTCTGTCCATCGTCAGCGACTCTCAGCGTTTTAGGAACGTTCTTCCTCTCATCCCACTCTGAGTCACAGCTCCGTGACTTTGGCTGTGCGAGGATGAAAAGGTGGCGACTACCCGCCAGTCTGTGTGACAAACTGAGTATAAAATTAACAATTTACGTCTCAGAGCCGCCGGCACACGAAGGCGTACGTGTTCATTCAGGGTTGCCAGGGAAACGTGGGAGGGCTTGTTACCCAGACAACCAAAGATGGACATTTCAGAGTTGAGACTGTAAAAGGGTTTCCGACTGACGTGAGAGCCGAGGACACGTCTGTCCACTCATGATGTCAATAATCAAGACAGGAAATGTCCTGATATGTGGGACAAAGCCTCGTCATGTTTCTGACCGTACAGGTGAACGTGTTTCTGTGGCTGACGGTAGGACGCAGCTCAGAGAGCTCGTCTGGTGCGTTTCTAATCCTGGATCAGGACTGAACAGGGACAGGTGACCATTCACACATGGCCTGCCTTTTGTCCCTCTGCTATTTACGTCTGAGAGCATTGTGCCGCTCCGCAGAGAAACCTGACCCTTCAGCGTAGGCGGAGCCACAAAACTAAAGTGTTCCTTTGGTACGCATCAGAACATGAACAGGAAGCGTGGCCTTTGAGAAAGTGACTTTATGATCTGGAGTCATCAGGTTTCACCGTGTCACTTCCTCCTGCTTGTATCAGACATGTAGTAAATAATGTGGAGGAACACACACACGCACACTCACACACACACACACACGCGCACACACGCACACACACACACGCACACGCACACACACACACACACACACACACACACACACACACACACACACACACACACACACACACACAAAGAAAAAATTAACCGTCATTTAGCTGTATAAAGGGATTAGTAGTTCTCTGTGATTTTTAGCTCTGGCAGAGTTGTCAGATGTATTATTTTCCTGCAGGCGAAGAAGTCCAGCTCAGTCAGCTGGTAAAGGCAAACTGGGTCACGCATGCACGCACACACATGCACACACGCACGCACGCACAGTCACTTCCAAGAAGGACCTCCTCCTTTCCATACTTGTCCTTTCCATCCCTCTCCCTCCTCGTTTTTATGGAGTCGTTACTTTAACCCCCAACCCACTCACAGATCTAAAGTACAAATAGGTGAAGATCTGAAATTTATTATTTCATCTGTAAGTCAGAAAACCCACCATTACAAAGAGAGATGGAGCTTAACCTGTTAGTTCACTTTGCTTTCAGTAAATATGATCAGCTTACATCACCAGTACCTGGTTGGACCCAGTTTTACTTTCAGAACCGCCTGACATAAACAACCGCTGCTCACCGGATATTTTCTCTTTTTGGGACCGTTCTCTGTAAACCGTAGATGGTTGTGGATTAAAATCCCAGTAGATCAGCAGGTTCTGACAGAGCCAGACTCACAGGCTGTGTGATTTTCAATAAATAAATTAATGCCAAAAGTCGAGATTAATTTTACGGACACTCCATCTATCCGGTAGTTCTTGTTCAACGTTTCCAACAGAATCCAAACATTTTCCTCTCGGTCTTCTTTCAGACATTGAGGCGTAAAGAGAAGGAGTACGAGCACGACATGGAGCGACTGGCCAGAGAGAAGATCGCCACCCAGCAGCGACTGGCCGAGCTGAAGAACGAGCTGAATCAGTGGATGGATGTAATGGAGATCGACCGGATCCTCCGGCAGACGGTGCAGCCAGAGGAGGACCAGGCTTCCACTTCCACAGCCTCAGGTAGGGAGAAGACAAGGGATTTAGAGGGATAGACATTCCTTCTTATCCTGGATGTTCTCTTTGGGAATGATGATTCACCTGTTCTACTGCAGAGGGTGAGGACATAATGGATGAAGACCTGAGCGAAGACACAACAGAGGAAACACGGTCCTCAACGCAGAGTCAGACTCCACCTGGGACAGCTGTGCCCACCTCCATCATCGCTCAGCACGTCTCCACCCAAAACAAACCCCCCCAGCCACAGTCCATTCTTCCAGCTCCACCACCCTGCACTCCCACTGCTCCCACTCAGCCTCCCATCTCCACTCAGACGCACATAGTAACCGCATCCAATCTGCACCCCACTGTCATCGCCCACGCTTCGATGTCCCACCCCTCCGTCATTCAGGCAGTGAACCGCGTCATCCATGGTGTGGGTCCTAAACACATCCCCCATCTGGCTCCTTCCACCACCTCGAGTCATCAGCCCATCGGCCACATCACCGTGCACTCTGTGGCTCACCTGGGCCAGCACATCCCCACCCTGTACCCCCAACCGGTGGCAGTCACGCAGCCGGCCGTGGTGGGTCATATCACTCACACGTTAAACCACGGCCACCCCCACATGAACGGTACCTCTCCCACCCAGGCCGCCATCGTCGGTAAGCAGGGAGCAGTTAGTGCCCAAATGATGGCACACCATCCACAGCTGGTTGGTCAGACGGTGCTTAACCCTGTCACTATGGTGACCATGCCCTCCTTCCCCATCAGCACTTTGAAGCTGGCCTGAACACTCCCCTCAGGACCACTAGGCACAGATGGGAGGAGTTCCATGGCTGAGGTCGGGCTGAATCAGGGCGAGGCACCTGATCTAAGAACAGTAGACTCAGTCAGGAACAACCAAACAACGCTACTACAGGTTCCTGGAGACCTGGTTCAAGAAGCAGCTGGCTGCTGGCAGTCCTCATCGGACGTTTAGACCCGTACAATGAAACAGGTTATTGAACAGAAACCAGATTCCTCCTTGCCTTGGCAGAGAGCTAGACCACCAAACCCAGCAGTCTGAGAATGTGATCCAGAGCAGCTCCTCCCCTCCAGCAGCACGTGCTGTCAGGCTGGAGCCCCGAACAGAAGCTGCAGTCATCAGCGTGCGAGTATGTAGCAGCAGCGCCCCCTTCTGGCTGTTGGTGCTAAACGTATGACGTTGATCAACAAATCAGCTCTGTCAGGGTTTAGTTATGGCAATCAACATCCTGGTGATTGTACACAAACTAGTTTCATCACTGCTGCTTCTTTATTTAAAATTTTATTTTTTTGCCAAATATGATTCATTTCTACATAAACACCCCAAAGATGGTTTGGGATATTGTGTGAGAAACTCAGGCTTTTAGTTGTCCTTTACCGTGGTGGGATGTGTGTTTGTGAGAATGAACCTCAAGCTGCTGCAGAGATATTTACTAAAGCTGTTGCATATTTAATCACAGACAGGAATTCAGCTAATGTGTGTAAATTAAGATCATCCTTTTACAAAGTTTGCACTGTGAACATTTCTACTGTCAGCCTGACAGCACTTAGAGCAGCCGAGCTCTGCTGAGTCCATGTGAATGTACTGATCTGTGAACAGATGACACACATTTAAGTCACATTACACTTCAAAACAAACTTGTATTTTATTTTAAACGTACTGTTGCTTATTATTGTAGTCGATTCTATAACCTTTCCTCTCTGGGACCATGCACAATGCTGTATATTAACCCACTCAGAGCTCTTCTGCTGTGAGAATATTTGGCCACTTTAATATATTTTTTTGTAAAATAACTTTTTTTTTCTTTTGTAGTATAAATATCAAGCAACAGTTTTTCCACTACTTTATTGAAATAATCCTGAGCAACTACTTTTGTATTTTAGCTGAACAAGAATAAATGTCATTGAAGAAGCAACAGTATCCTTGTATGTTTTTCCCTATGGAGAAAGTTCAAGCTGTATATAGCCTGTAAATGTTGGACTGCTTATAGAGATACATGTATTCTGTAAAAAGTTTCTGGAGAATATATTCAACTCAAAATTTGTAAAAAAAAAAAAAAAAAAAAAAAAAAAAGGAATAAATTCTAATATGTTTACAAATTTCCTGCCTGTTTTGTGATTCATTTATCTGATGAATTAAAGTAACTTCTTAATCCCTGGATTTCGACCTGAAATGTTACTGAAGAACTTTTCACTATTAAACTGAGGATGCTTCCAGGACTTGGTGCAAAGAAGGAATCAGAAGGTTTGAGCAGGATTTGTAGAAAAAAAAATTAAAAGTCTACTCATGTTTTAAAGGTGTGGAACACTGAAAAAACTTTTTTTTATGATTATTTCTGATTATAATCAGTCATGAACATGAAAATGGTCTCCCACACCTATGTCCTGCATTAGCTTCTGAGAGAAAATAGATGGAAAAAATCTAGGATTTGAAAAGCCTGACAGATATACATCACACTTTTAATTACTGTTCATGGACTCGCTCATCTTGGCTCACGGCGGGGAAGGCTGGTTTACCCTCCAGGAATCAGCAGAGAACGTCCCGACTAGTAGAAGCTAGCTGTTAGCATTAGCAACACCACACCACAGAAAAAACTCCTGGCTTGTGTCATTTGTGGAGATAAAACATCCATGTTGTGAGTCAGTGATAGTCGCGTTGCTGTTATCCAATCCCAGGAAAGATGTCCAAATATCAGGAAGTAAGACTACAAGATATGTCTTGTTCTGCCACTCTCTGCCGCAGCAGACTTGCGTGCTGATCCAAGCACTTAGGGGCTTTATTTTTGCCCGGAGTACAGCTTGTAAGGCATTCATTTCTACCAGAGACCACTGCAAATCTATTGATTAAACAAGTTTCCCACACCTTTAATAGATTTTCACTGGTCTCTAGTATGAATAAATGAGACTGTTAAGGACGTAGAGGTCAGCTGGAGAAAGTGGCAGCAGACAGCAGGAATTTGAGTCTTATTTCCCGACATTTGGACTTACCTCTAATTGGCTAACGGCAATGTGACTCTACAACTGACTGTTTTATCTGCAACATTAATGTTTTATCTCCACAAATAACGGAAGCCTGAAGGAATTCTGCCATGTGGTGGAGCTGCTAATGCTAACAGTTAGCTTCTACTAGCTGAGACATGCTCGCCTCTGTCTTTGATGCTAAAACAACAACTTTCCTCGTTGCGAGCCAAGATGAGTCCATGAATGCTAATTTAGTGTGACATAGATCTATGTGGTTTATCCTGACTCAAGCATTTTCCATCAAATTTTATGGTCAGCCTGCATGTTAAACTCATTGAAAGATCACTAAAAATGATTTCTCTGTGAACCTGCTCTTTACAAGTGATGCTGCAGGCAACAGTGATTCATGGAAGATCAGCCTACCTATAGTAAAGCACGGTGGAGGTCTAATCATGATGTAGAGAGTGATGATGAAATCTTAACCCTAGATGGTACACAGGGTCAGAAAATCCAAACAACCACCTTCATCAGCTTACCAGCAATGATTTCTGTCACTTCAAAAGGAACGTCAAAATATTGAATAAAATAATCTGTTTTATAAAGTTGTGAGATCAGATTTTGTGACTCATTACACTAGCCACATAAAGTAAGCTGATGATCTTTTATGATGCATTTGAGTGTAGTTTATTCAGTCATTTCAATGCAAATAAAAAAAAATGAAGCTCTTTAACCCTACAAATATGATAATCAGGAAATAAATCAAGTAAAACAAACCAATAAAAACTATAAATAAACAATTTGCCAAATACTTCTCTTAATTTTGTCCAGGCAGAGTTGGAACTGACCCTTTTTTAGACTCTGGTTTTGTAATCAAAAGTGGACTGATGTTAAAGAGACAACGTGTAGTTTTCACCATTAATCTCTGGAAATATTCATAGAAATGTTGATGAAAATGTATTAAATGATGTCCAGTTGTTGAAAAATATTGGCGGCTTCATAACATATAACCATACAAATTAGGTACAAATTATACGGGAGTGGGTCCAAGTCTCTGAGCGACGCCACATTAGACACCATGTTTCCTTCTATGGGAGCTCGTGAGGACAAAACACATTTACAAATGGTTACAAAACTTTGGACATTCATTAACTTTGTTTTACACATTTACTTCTTTACTCGTTGCCAGCTATGAAAGGAAGTCGGAACGTGTCTTTTCCTGGAGATTGTGGTCTCAGGGATTTTTGACCCTAATGGCCATCCGTTGGTAAGTTCTTACCTACTCGAACACAAAAATACTGCTTGCTTGCATTTAGGTATGTACTGCCCCCTATTGCCAGGCAAAATACACACAGTCACTTTAAAACTGGTAAATATGGTTGGTTTTACCTCCTGTTGGTAAATAAAATTAAATTATAAAACTAAAATGGTAAATGGTAAATGGCCTGTATTTGATATAGCGCCTTCTAGAGTCCTGGAACCCCCCAAGGCACTTTACAACACAATCAGTCATTCACCCATTCACACACACATTCACACACTGGTGGGGATGAACTACAATGTAGCCACAGCTGCCCTGGGGCGCACTGACAGAGGCGAGGCTGCCGAGCACTGGCGCCACCGGTCCCTCCGACCACCACCAGCAGGCAATGTGGGTTAAGTGTCTTGCCCAAGGACACAACGACAGCGACAGACTGAGCGGGTCTCGAACCTGCGACCTTCCGATTGCGAGGCGAGCACTTAACTCCTGTGCCACCGTCGCCCCTATCCTCTATAGTTCAGGATTAGTTCAGTTTGCTTCAATAAACCTTAAGGGGTTTATATAAAGCGTAAAAAAAAGTAATTCAGTTTAAATGAGCCGTGTTTGAACACATAATGACACCTAGACTGCATTTGAAGCTAGGTAACAGAGATAGAGCAGGTAGAAGAAGCAAGACTGTTGGGGGTAATTGTGGATTCTAGATTGTCATGGACTAGTCACATAAATCATGTCCTGCTGAAACTTGGAAGAAGTATGGGCACGATCAAATATTGTTGTAAATTTATTCCTCGTTTGCAGATAAAAACTTTAGTTCAAACATTAGTACTGTCTCATTTAGATTATGCATCAGTTATTTGGTCTAATACAAGTGAAATGAATTTAAATAAGTTACAAGTGGCACAAAATAAAGCTGCACGAATTGTTCTGGGTTGTTATTATAGAACAAATGTTAGTATGATGCATGATAGGTTGGCCTGGTTAACAGTGAAATGCAGATTAAAATATTCACTGATCACATTTATAAGAAATATAATAACTACAAAAATACCTAAAATAATTTATGACAAATTATCATTTTTTTCAGACAATCATGATTACAAGACGAGACAGATAAGTGACATAAGGTGCGCACTACCGCGCTGCAGAACTAATCAAAGGCAAAGAGCAGTTTATTACAGAGCCATGGTTGCATGGAATGCCATACCGAGATTTTTGTTATTAGAGAACAATAGAAGATGTTTTCAAAAGAAGTTAAAGCTTTTTTTGTTTACACAACAGTAAATTTTGCACAGTGAATTGTAAATGTGACTGATATGACAGCTTCTATAATTTTTGTTTGTTATGGATGTGATGCGATATGATTTTTGATTCTTGAATATAGTTATTTATTGCTCTGTGTAAACTCTCCGTTTTCACCTATTTAGATTTTTCATGAACTCTGAAGTGTGTGGTAACTTATTGGTATATTATTATAGCAATTGAGGTGGTATGATTATAATGAGCTCCTGGAGTTTGTTGTTGTTGGGTGTGTGTGTGTGTGGGGATGGGGATGGGGGTGTTTTGTAAAATATTTGTAATGAAATTGAAAGAGACCTCAGGAAGAATAGCTCCACACTATGGTGTGAGCTAATGAGGTTCTCAATAAATAAATAAAAATAAAAAATAAATAATAAAATCAACAATATCTGATGGAGAAAATTATATTCATATTTTATTACAATATAATTGTAGAATTATAGTATCATTTGTATGCTTTCCTCCTTATATTCATTCAGATTATAAATTCAGTACATAAATATATCACCCCCCATCCCAAAAACAAACAAACCATAACATAAATCAACTTTTAGTATAAAACAAATTCAGAAATAGAAATATTACCTGACAAAACTCAAGGAATGCTTTGTTTTTCCACAGAAGTCATTTTGATCATAATTCTTAATAAAAAAGTTTGAAATATGAATCCATCAGACTTTGATAGAAAGATTTATAAGTAAAGTAAATGTTAACATAAACACTCAAACATCAAGATAAAGCAAAATAATAAAAAAAAACATCTGTTGTCACAAACATCTGCAATCAGAGTTATCATTAAAAGAAACATGCAAAAATAAATACACCATCCAAAGATGCAACTCTCCTGCAAACATTGGGTCTACTCGTCTCTACTTTCAGGAAAATCTAATTATTGCAAATAAATGTTCTTTTAATGTGCACCAGTTATTGGATTTATTACTGAAGACCTTCGATATTAAAGTCAGGCATCAGAGGCCGAAAATATAAAAAAACACAAGCAGAAACTTTTAAAACAAACGTACAGACAAATAAAACTAACGTCAAAAAGATTATAATCCGTATGAAATAAAACCTGGAACATTTAAGACAAGGGGGACAGCTCGAGTGTGAAACAGAAAATAAACAGATGAAAGAAAACGTACAGATAGAAATTAAACAGGAAAAGTGAGTTTTAGCCCTGGTGATGACGCGGGGAAATTAAAGTTCTGATATGTTTTAAAGTGGAGCGGAAGATCAGACGTCTCCTCCTACCACCTCCTCAGAGCGTCGGTGTCCAGAAGTGGAAGGAAAGATTCCCGTTGTCTCCGATGTGGACGTTGATCCATCGTTAATGGCCGTCCTTCTGAGAGACCAGATGGTCCTGGTACCTCTGAAGCATCTCCTGCATCCTCCGCAGCTGTGATGAGAGGAAGATTTCAGAGTTTAGCAGTAGTCTAAGCACGTTGGAGGGTTTAATCTGACTGGATTATTTAAACGTGACGGCATAAATCAATATCAGAGGTCACGTGTTCCATGTTAGATCACATGACCTGCCCCCTGCACCTACACACCAGCTTGCTGCTGATTTATACAATGTAGAAATCCAAATGAGCGTTACTCTCATTAATCACGAGTTCTAGATGATTGGACTTCCTGTTGGATTCTTGGAGATGATCCAGCCATCGCACTGGCGGATTATTCTTAAAGTGACGTTTTAAACTTTTGTCTCACATCAAAAATTAATAAAAACACTGAGGAAAATAAATGTTTATTTATTTAATAGATATTGCATGAATAATCTAGGGAGACAATGAATGATAAAACACAATGTTGACACATTATCAGCTATAATTTACTATTCATAAATAATTCAGACAAAACAGTCCAGCTAATCAAACATGAAAACATTCACATCACCGGGAATGTAAACGTATTTCTGCCGTGCAAAGCCAGGAACAAAAACTATGTTTTTTCTTTTATAGATGCCATAATATTATCTGTAACCCTAGCACACCTTTTTAATCAACATAGAAGAGGACACAGTTTATCTGCTCTAATAATCTATAATAAAAATCCCTCAGGAGTTCTTACTGGTAAATGTGAATCAAACCGGGAACTCACCAGTGATCCTCATTTATTATTTATTCAGGCTGAAGCCATGCTGACTGTTTAGGAAGACGATAATTAATAATGAACTTTTATTTCTACTTTTGGGAACCGATCTAAAGCTCTGGGTCCAGATGAGCCTCCAAGGTGAGACGACACCGGCGTCTGACCTCCCAGCCTCTAAAACGACACCGTGAGGTTTCTAAAAGGACATCTGGGTACATTTGAGCCAGAGGAACTCAGCGTTCTCGGTCGTCTCTCGGATCTGAGGGTTCCTGCTGCTCTGAGCTCTGGTGAGACTCGTGCTCTCGGTCGGGAACGGAGTCCGGTGCGCGGTCGGCGTGCCGTACCTCCTCATCTTTCTCTCGGATAAGCTTCTCCGTCTCGCTCTCTGCCACTCCGGGGACCATGGGGATTGGGAAGTCTGTGCCGCTCTCTCTGGTTAGTTTACTGTAGAACACATTGGAAATCCCTCAAACATCACAACTGAAGAGACATTCATCAACAATCAACAGTTTAATTAAATATCCTCGTCTTATAGCTCAGATTTCAGTCAAAGCGCACCACGTGTCCCTCAGCGGGAACCTACTTGCGGTTGCGTTCCTTCACCACCATGCGGGTCATGCTCTGGATGCACTGAGCTCTGTAGTTCTCATAGTGCGTCTCCCGGGTCACGTCCTTCAGATCCTGCATGTGAGTTCGGACCAGCATGTTCCTCAGCTTGATGAAGTCGCAGTGTGTCGAGTTCTCCACTGAAACACACAGAAGGAGCAGCTGAGGCTGCGTCGCGGCTGGGTGGAAGGAGGTGAAGCTAAAAGCAGACAGACGTGGAGTTTATCGTTTGTTTTTTTAGGGATTGTAAAACCTTCAACGATGCCCCAGGGGTAGAGCCGGCCTCGCACCCTCTTCCCTTTGGCCTCCACCACCGTGTTGCTGCCGATCACAGCGAAAGGGATGCTTTCCTTAAAAAACAAAACGTAAAACCAGCTATAAATAAATAAAATCTCCACAACGAATTCAATCTGTAAGCCAAGCTGTGTTTCCTTCTCTTAGTGCAACAGTGTGTCTTTTGGCTTTTCACGACCTTCTGAAGAAACTCACATAGCTCACCTTCAGCTCCAGGTCCTGCTGCTTAAATTCTTCATCCTCATCAGAGTCACAGTCTGGGAACTGATAAATCTTGATTCCGTACTGCTCGATCTCCTCTCTGATCTGCAGGGACAGACGCGAGTTTCTGTTTGCCACTTCTAGATCTTCAGCTGCTTCAACAGAAATGGTCTTACCTTAAACTTCTTTTTTTTTACTTCAATGGGGGTGAGGGTGTCTGCTTTGGCCAAGATGGGGACGATGTTGACCTTCTCGTGCAGAGCCCTCATAAACTCAACATCCAAAGGTCGGAGGCTGGAGGAAGAGAGCATGCACATATCTGATGTGTCATTATTGAGGTCGGCCAGCAGAGGGAGCAGTTTCTTCACTTCTGCAGGGTCATTTGAGTTTAATAGTGAGCTTGGTCAAAGAGGACAGCAGCGTGTGCACACTCATGCTTAAAAACACCAAATCAGCACAAATACTGATTAGTGCGAAAGCTCTGCAGCTGATCTGGAGTCTGCTGAAGGAAGCTGAGAACTGCTTCATGGGGCTAAGTGCACCAGAAGTGTCCATCCTTTTAGTAATTATTTAAAGCAGCGTTTGTGGGTTAACATCTCCCACTGGGGGAGGAAAGAGAGACAGCTTTCCCATACCCATGGCCGAAGGGGGAAATGAAATAGAGGCAGCAGTGTACGCGGTTGTCCTGGATGTTCTTGCGGTTGAGTCCACTCTCGTCCCTGAAGTACTGCTCAAACTGCTGGTCGATGTAGTCGGCCACAGACTTCCAGCTTTAACACAAACATTTGCACGGTTACGCTCTCAGCTACTGGACAGGCCTGCTTCATTTACATTTCCACTCTTTAATGGCATTTACCATTCAGTGTTGTTTACAGCGTCACCAAACCCAGGTGTGTCCACGATGGTGAGCTTCAGCTTCACACCTTTCTCCTCTATGTCCACCGTGTGTTTGGTGATCTCCACCGTCTGTGTGATTCTCTCTGGGAGGAAATGGAAAAGGCTCTGGTTTAAAACATCAACCACTACGAGACTAACGTGTACGGTGGTGGTGGTGGTGTCCTCACCTTCAGCGTTGAGCAGTTTCCTATCTTTGTACAGATCTGTGAGAAACAGACTGTTGACCAGCGTGGACTTTCCCAGGCCAGACTCACCTTCAAACAAAGAACAACAAAGACAAAATCAGCGAGGCCTAAAAACCCTGTGATTAGCCGTCTCTTCAAAGGAAAACGGGCTGGGGGCTTAGGATCAAATGTCCAGGAAAAAAAAGAAAACGAGGCTTTACCAGCCACCATGAGCGTGAAGTCAAATCCTTTCTTGACAGATTTACGATGCACCTGGTTGGGTAGTGTTGCAAAGCCCACATATTCCTTGTCCTGGTCCTAAAGACAAACAGAACATAGGTTCATCATGGAAAAGCATATTTTCACTGATGGCTGTGTAATGATTCCACAATTTCATCAAATGCTTAAAATTTCATCAGAATCCCACAAGTTTCTATAAAAAACAGCCAGAAACACCTGCTGACACATCAGTACACTTGCGAATAAACCAGCCAGCTCCTTTTCTCCTCTCCACCAGTTTTACCTCGTTGTTGTTGTACGGGTCAAAAAGAGCCCAGGGGCTCCGGGGTCTGGACGGACTGACAGGAGACGGCAGCTCAAACTCCACACTTCTGCCCAGAGGCAGGCTGATGTCTGAACCCGAGTCTGACTGAGCCCGCCCGGCCACCGGGGGCCGCAGATAAGACGGGGTGTGGGGGCAGTCCAGGCCCTCAGCCTCGCCGTCTGCACCGTGAGCTTCGAGCGGGTGCTGATGGCTGTGGCCTCCATGATGTGGAGGATCATGCATTATGTTTTCCACCTCTGAGTCGTCTGAATGGCTGGAATGCTGAAGGAGGTGGGGGACAGAGAGGACGGAGTGGCAGAGGGCGAGGAGGAAAGCGATCGGTACAGAATAAAGGAAAACACAGACGGGGAACGGTACAAACCGATATGAAAGGGAACACGCTTTTAGAAATAACAAATATTTCTAATTTAAGGCTTTAAATTGTACAGAATAGTTTTTCAGCTGATTTTAATTCCCAATGTAGTATTTTTAGAGTTCAATGGTTACTTTGAAAATTATTATTAAAAGAATTAATACAATTTAATCTTTATCTGAATATTAAAACTTTTAATTACAACAAAAGCCAAATCAGGATTTCTGGGACTGTTTTAAGGGCTACCTGAGTCGCGTTATGGGTGATGCTGTGATTAGGGGACGATGGACAGGAGTCCTGCTCGTCTGACGAAGTGGGAGGCTCATGGTCACTGTCCTCCATTGCAAATGGGGCTATGCTGCACTTCGTAATCTCCAGTCAGAAAGGAAGTGACAAAACAAAAGGAGGGAAGGGAAAAATATCCCCAAAATCCACACGATGCACAAGGTCAGAGAGGCAGGAGTGGTGAGACGGAGGGACAGAATGATTCCAGACCGGACAGAAAAAAGGATGAAGAAATGAAAAGGAATCAGAGAAATGCACAACAACAACAACAACAACAACAACAACCACCATGTACCATTAAGCAGATAAATGGTACAGATATACAGCAGCACAGTCCCAGCTGCAGATACCCAGAAAGTCACTAATGATTAGGTAAAAAAGATCCAATCTAAAAAACAAGGTTGTTTTCCGTCGGCCTAACCCTTATAATAATTTAAATGTCCACAATTTCCTTAAATGCTTAAACGCCTGTCTTTAAAATCTAAAAGTTCTTTCAGTAATTTTACAGTTTGTGTTTGTTTAATTTGAGATGTCTAGCTTGAGGGCAGAGGGGGAACTGGGCCTCATTTCCTGTGCTCTAACCCTCAGATCAATGTCCAACCGGCAGCGTTCTGCCACCTATAAAGGACCACAGAGCTCATCACCCTCAGCTTCCACGTTTCTGCTTGAATATGTGGCAAAGCTGAGTAAAAACATCATGTAGCCACTCCTCTTAATACCACATTCATTCATTCATTACTGGAATTAAATCAAATCACTAATCAGTTCATCCCCACATAGAGGATCATAAAATTAAGTTTACACCTCCTTCCTGCATGTAGACCATTACCTACTGGTTCCCAGTTCCTCACCTGTTTCCCTGTTATCTGAATGCAGAGCTGCTTCTTCTTCCCTGTTTGCTCCTCACACAGACTCCAGCAGGCAGAGAAGAAGAGAGAGCAGCAGTTCTGGCTTTTATACACCTCCGTCCCAGAGGACACGGTGTCCTTCGGCTTCATCGAGCCGCTCAGCGCCCCGGGGAACTGGTCAGCAGCATCGATGAGCCTCACGCCACCAATTCATAGGCTACAAGCTGAATACATCACCAGGAGTTTAAACTACTAGTAGTTTCTGTTTCCGACAGAGGACTGGAGGGGAAGCATGCATTTAAATAATTAAATTGTAATAAACCTCGGATGATCCATTTAAATGTGACTTTGAGACATTTTAAAGAGGCATTCTGTTATTTTCTTTCCCTCAGAGGCATTCCTGAACACGAGTGTAGCTTCAGAGCTTCTTAAAGCCTCAGATGCTATCAGGTTACATCACCTTTAAAACCTAATGATGGGACAGACTTCACAGTGTGCAGGCAGAGGATGTACGTTCCTCCTGCTTTGTAAGGCAGAAAGATAAGGTTTAAACTGGAAAACAATCCAGAGCTGCAAACTGATAATCGATGATCTCAGATGAACGTGCAACCTGCTTTACTTTCACAAAATGTTTTCCTCCAGCAACACATTAAAAGTGTCCTAAGAAAGGATTTTGTTTGACACTTGGAAACTGTTGTTTGAGCCTCTGTATCACATATGAAAGTTTGCTGGGGCTCCCAATGACCCAGGACACCGATAAATGGCAAAACACAACATAAGCTTGAAGGTTTTAGTTGGAAACACCTGTGTGGAAACTGTCCTATATTCCCTCCTACGACTCAAATTTAGAATGTGTGTACAAACAGTCAGAAGACCGATTTATGAAACATGCGGCGGCGTCTCCTACACACGTTCCTCCGCAATCGTCTGATGATAAATCCCACCTGTGCGTACCGAGGTGCTTGTGTTCGTTCGCCATCATTTACAAACAGAAACGCCCCCAATTAACCATATTTGGTCACGCTACGTCCTCAGCACGTGAGGGGATTCTTAAACTAGAATAACACTCGGTGGACTCTGACCGCAATTTAACACATTTTATTAAAACACAGAAGCTCCCAAAAGGCTGCATGTCATCTGAGACTTGAACCAATTAGAATTTCTGCATCAGATCCAGGGTCAGTTCAGACCAAGCAGACTTTAGGTTTGATGATGTCATACATGTGAAAACCTCCCTGCAGAAGGTCTGAGTTGGGTCTGAATTAGGTAATGACAAATAAACTTTAAAGTGTAGGGAGACAGCTTAAATACTTCCTCACATTACTCAAATATGCTTTAAGGACTTCCTTCCCGTCAACGTTTTCAGCAACGCCAAATAAATGAGGAAATTAAGCCACGGCATGCGGACAAAAACTTTGTCTCTGGCAGTGACGTATCTCACTGCAACACAGGCTTCTTTGGCATTTCCTGGAATACTGATAAAAATGCACTTATGGTGTTTTTGAGCTTCAAAACGGGAACAGCAGAATTTTTTCCTGGAGATCTCAGCTGGCCTGGAATCTGCTGTTTGTTACACACACACAACACAAATAGGAAACTAAAGCTAACCATGGTGCTGTTTGGTGAATATACAGTCAGAACCAGAGATTTTAATTGAAGTCAATAAGCAGTCAGACTATCAAAGAAACCTCCGTAAGGACAATAACACCAAGTTTGTCAGAGGGAAGCAATGCATGGCTTTCACTGGGGATAAAACCTCTACGCAGTCGCTGAGAAACAATCGAAGGACATGAAACCCAGCAGAAAATAAACAAGCTGAATGTGAAGCTTTGTTACTCTTGGATCGTGGCTGTGCGTTTGGCCGACATGCCGCTGATGGATGATGATTTGTTGCGTTTAGTGCTGCTCTCAGGGGGGAAAGCCCTCTTTGAATGCTCCCTGTACGACATGGGAAATGCCATCAGAAGACGCCAGAAGTCATAAAGAAACTATACAGCATGGTGTTATTGATGCACGATGATGAGAGCGCATTTCAGAATGACAGGAAACACAGCCGACACAGTCGCTGGCACCAAAACCCACATGCACGCTGGCATTGTGTGGGAGAGCGTGAACACATACGGCCACAGCATAATGCTGTAATTTCCTAAAAATCCAGTAATGCTTTTCTTTGAGACGAGGCCAGGAGCAGGTGGTGAAGCGAGCCATGTGCGCTCTGTGTGAATGCTGTGGTTGTTTGGATGGTGATAGCAGCGCTCTGTGTGGAGCTGGCTCAGCGCAGAGACACGGGACAGAAATAATCCCATCCTACAGCAACAGGATCACATAGTCACATGATCACAACACTACTTATTCCTCCATATCTGCTGTTCAAAGTAAACCAGTAGTATTCTAATGGTGTATAGCATACCAGACTCAACACTTATGATGCATTAAGCTGTCAAACATGATGAGTTTAAAGACAGACAGGAAGGAAAAAAGTCTCGACAGCCTGTTTACACACACCCATGTGAGTGTTTTAGGTTTTATATGGCTTCAGTTTTAATCTTTTGGTAACAATTCACAAAAACATACTGAGAGATAGTAAGTATAATGCCAGCAGAAGGTGAAGAATACATACCTCTGTGTCACTGCTAGTTTCTGAGGTTGCTGCCATCTTATCGCTCTAGAATTACAACAGAAACTTGTAGAAAACTCCTCTGAGAGGTACCTTTGTCTTTAGGATTTCCACATGACACAAACAAAACCACTGTCCCTGCCTCAGCACTAGTCAACGAGATCCAGTTCTTCCCTACGTATCCCCTCACACTGGGGGACAGGTACAGCTTCAGTTTCTGCCTCTCTGAATCTGGAGGGTTTCAAAGTCTCCTCCCTGACCTGCAGCTTTCATGCAGCTTGTGTGTGCACGAGTCTCCTGCCTTAAGACGAAGTGCCGGGGAGACCAACATCTGCCCTGTCATCTGGACAAGAGCCTCATGTGACCTCATTCTCCAAGAGAACAACACACAACAACGGGACATGAAGGAAATCTATGTTGCTTTTAGAGCTGCACCTTTAGAAAACCACAAAAGATGGTTGTCAAATATTTTTTTTGCAACAGAACAGGATGAATCTAACTTTAACGTGGACAGCAGGTAGAAAGAAAAGTGGAAATTCAAAATTAGAAGATGGCAGCTTGGGTCCTTAAAAAGGCCGTCACATCCAACAAACCTCCCAGCTGGCAGGGTCAGTGCAGCACAAAACCAGCGTGTGTGTGAGTGTGTGAGAGTGTGTGGCCTACATACTACAAATAATCTTTTTATCGAACGCTCATACACACAAACACCCAAGTGGGCCAGAGCACAGAGCTTTTCCTATAATCTTTGGGAATATCCCTCATTCTTAAAGAATTAGGGTTTTGTGATTAAATCCCCGTATTGGACTTTGTAAAGATGTGAAGGAGTCTAAAAGTGTGAGCTGATGCATTTTGAGTTTCTGTAGCAAAAAGCCAAACACCAGTGAAGCAAAACAGTGGCTGATGGTGCTTCTGGCTTCAACGGAGAGTGACGGACCCAGAGATGAAGCACAACCAGAGATTTGACAACAACAAAAAAACACGTAGTTTGAAAACGTTGCGCTTGTGTCTGGGCGTAGATCTGATGCTAATGTGACACCGAGGAGGATAAACAGGAGCTAGTTCTCCCCCCAGAAGCAGAAAAACGTTACATGATCCCGACATTGGAGTGCCAACTGCTACCGCTTTAAGTGGTAGACAGAGAGCAGCTAAAATAGCATCAGGTCAACACACACACCAGTTAAACAAACCACACAGCAGGCAAATCCCCCGTTTTATGGGACACATGTTCAGAGCTGGCCTGGATGAGAGGGTGAGGAGAAAAGCACAGGAAGGAGACGTTTACTTCCTGTAACGACAGACGCTGTCTGGGCAGGCGGCTGCTTAGATATTCTCTGGCTCTATCATGACGGTGATCATCACGGACCGCGGCGCAGCCGGAGAAACACAAAACCAGGCTGCACCAACCTGCAGGCTGGCCTGCGCACACAGAGAAAAGCAAAGCGTCACACGGCTGGGAGGATCAAACTGGACATCATCATGGGCAACGAGATAAAAAAGGTCACTTTCTTGTCGTTTGTACTGTGATGTCATCTCAGGCCAGAGGGCCTTGGCTCAGCTTCAGCAGCAGAGCTGTGATCTCCAGCCTGCATCTGCATGAAAGCAGGACTCGTTATGCACATATCTGAGCAGACGCTTTAGCATGGACAACGGGAGGAAGGACAGTGCCACCTGCTGCTTCTGACTGTTAAGTGGCCGCTCACAGAAGCACGAACGATACATCTCATCACAATTATGAGTGAAGCGGTGTTCATTCATCTCAAACTAAAAAAGTGCAGCGGTCGCACGGTTAGACCCCGTGTGGCTCTCACAGGTCGGGATAAGTGTGCAGACACATTAATGTGGGCTCAAACGTCCCAGCTGCAGTACAGTAACTCCCAGCTCACGCCGACGCCCTCTAAAGCATTTAGCAGCATCTCAGCAGGAACATAAATATTGGTGCACAATAGTAAAGGAACCCGGAGCTGCTGGATTTGCTGAACTTACACTTCCTACACTTCCTCCTCCATTCAATTAAGGATCTTTATCTGATGAGGAGAGATTCCTGTTGGAAACCAGTTTGTTCACTTTTGTTTTTACCCCCCCCAGAAGGTAGGAATGCACAACAAAGGTTAAGGGAAAGGCTTGCACAAATCACAAGCTAGGAATTCCATTGTTTGATTCACTTAAATGCATCAACCCTAAATTCAAGTTCACTCTGGTTTGTGAGCAAAGGGAAGAGTCTCTCTGAAATCTGTGGCTTATCCAGGCTGTATGCACACCTCGTAACCTCAGTGAACCCACACCCGCCTGCAGAGAGCGACTTTCAGACGTATCCCTCTGGATCACTTCAGCCTTTTATTTTCACCATTAGACTCCTCAGGAGACGTCTGCAGCACAAATGTTTAAAGGAGCTGCATATACTACAATAATTACAGCCTCTACTGTGGATTTTAGGGTGTTTGTGCAGCCCTGCTTGTAATCTGTAGCTGTTTCTGAACTTCATCATTAGCAGCACCATGGATGGTGTAACCTAACCTGGATAATTTATGAAAAAAGTACAATATCAAGCCAATCTAAAGCCAAAAACAGAAAGCCTGGTTTGCCCTGAACGGGGCAATTGCCCTCTATATTACTACCTTTGGCAGACAGACATTTCTATGACTTGTGGGGCTCATTTCCTGTAATTATTCAAAACAAGACACAGGAATTTAATCCCAAACTGCTGCTGAATCACCAAGAATCCACAAGTCACCTATGACGGCGTGAAACAGGAGCGAGAAGTACATTTTACACCAGCTTGTTGCACTGAAGCAAACACCTGTGAGACAAAAGGAGACCAACAAAACCCAACATGAGTTGGTGGTGGACTCCATTTGCCCTGGTGTGAGGAAGTCAGCGGGTTAGGTTGGTGTGTGTGGCCCGGGTGTTGTTACGGTGAATTCCAGCCCCGTCCAGCTCCCACGTTACACAAACACAAAACCACTTTGTGTGATTTTTGGCTCCCGCTGTGCCTTATCACAACACCGCTGAGGACTGAAGTGGGAGCCACAGATCTGCTGAAACACAGCTGCATTGTGTCTTAAAAAGATGCAATAAGAGAAATTACATCAGCGTCTGGACTGAGCTTCCTGTGTTCCCTTAAAGGTGCCAGCCTCAATGAGACTAAGAGACTCATCACTTATTTTAACGGTAGCCGGTAACCCCATTGACTCACAAGATGTTCACGTTTGTCAAGTGTGAGTTAACACTGCAGGGCAAAACAGAAAAAATACCATTTAAACCCAGTCTTATTGAAAAAAATATTCAATTTATTTCTAATAACATGTCACCCGTTCTGAAAAATAGGATCTGTTAATACATTACACATAAATACTATTATTTAGGTTTTCTGTGTGAATCCCAGTCGATAGTGAAAAGTTTAACACAGCTGTTAAATATTCACACCACAGAAAAACAAAACATCCTGAAAGTGTGAGAACCAGAGTCAGATCCAGAAGTCTGTGAGAGACTTCCAACAAAAGCATGATTTTGCAACAGCTCCGGGTCAACGTCCTTTGGCGTGTGTTCTTTCATAAATAAAGTTTGAGATCAGAATAGAGATAAATATACAGCAAATGAGCATTTCCTCTCCTAACTAACAACACTTTAATGTTTCATCTGGGTCCAGTATTTGGTGCAAAGCCTCAATTTTCCCTCCAATCTTTCAGGTTCATTGAAGATTCTCCGTCCTGACTGAGTCGTTACTGATCGACAGGCAGCAGCAGCCTGCAGACAGACACCACACAAGGGACCGCTGAGCAGCAGGAGGCTGCTGCATCATACAGCAGATCTTTACAGACTTCGACCGATGTTATTTGTTCCTAAAAACTGTTGCAATACCTTTAAGTCTCACCACTTCTAAAGTGTCACAATCCCAGGAAAAATAGGGATGCCTGCTTGTTCTGAATCAGAGCTTTACCAGACTGTCACATCTGTGAGCCTCCACAGATGTTAGTGACTCGGGTGACACCTGGCTGACCTGAGCTCTAACTACATACTTTGCTATCCTCCTCAGGGATATAATCCACTTCATTAATCTGGATGCTCAAACAAGTCAGAAGCCAACTAACTCGTATGTGAAGCCAGACACTTAGGCATCAATCACATCCTTTACATGGGACTCACACCTGGGTTGTGTTTGAATAATCAAACGATTTACAGCAGATTCCTGAACCCTTAAAACCGCCACATCCTCACAGGTGGAGCACAAAGCGGTTTGGAGGACATAATCAAAATAAACAAAAGCTCATTAATAAAGGATCCTGGTGCAGGAGCCTTGTGTCGTGTTGCACAGCCCGCTTCATTTCTCCTCCAAATGCAGAAGACACACTTCACTTACCATCCTGCAGATGGTCGAGAAACACACGATCCGACAGGAGTATGCCAACCAGCTGTTAGCTGCTCCATGTCTGTGTGGAAAACCTCGTTTCACCTTCAGCTGCAGCGCTTACACACTAACGGTCTACCAGCTGTATGCACACATCAGCCATCACTGCTGGTGACACTGCTCGTGATGAGAGGGGAAGACCGAGATGATCTAGAATAGACTGCTGCAGAGGAGTCGTACTTCTCACACCAGACCTATAATGTTTTATGTTTATATACTGCATATAAGGGGCAGCAGTAGCTCAGGAGGTACAGCAGGTTGTCCAGTAATCTGAAGGTTGTAGGATCGATCCCGAATCCCGGGAGTGTGCCCCAGCGCAGCTGTGGCAACATTTTAGCTCTTCACCATCAGTGTGTGAATGTGTGTGTGTGTGTGTGTGTGTGTGTGTGAATAGATGAATGATAAACTGCAGTGTAAAGCACTTTGGAGTCCTCTGACTCTGAAAGGTGCGATAGAAGTGTGGGTCATTTATCATTTATAAAGAATTAGATCAGAGGTGCAGCACAAGAGACAAAGATATCAGACTTTAAAGGAATCTTTGCAGTTTCGGCTTGATTTTACCACCCCCTGGTGCCTATTTTAATTCACTGTCATAAAACCAAACTGAAATTTTCCTCCTCGCTGTACGCTGATGTTTATAACACTTTAATCTAACTACCGAAGTGTCTCCTCAGCCTTCATGAGTGTCTACAGGAATGATTCATCACTTAATTAAACAAGTCAACTGTGTTCATAATCTAAAACAGGGGTGCCCAATCCTGGTCCTGGAGGGCCGGTATCCTGCATGTTTTAGTTTGAACTCAGTTTCAACACACCTGATTTCAATCAGCAGCTAATTAACAGGCTTCTGCAGAGCCTGATGAGCTGCTGCACAGGCGTTTCAACCACTGAATCAAATCTGTTGGAGCAGAAAAAACACAAAACCTGCTGGATACCGGCCCTCCAGGACCAGGATTGGGGACCCCTGATCTTAAACATGCAGGTGCAGCAGCATGCTGGAAGCAGACTGCAACACCAGTGTGTCGGCTAGCCACTTTACTACTGACTAGCAGAGTTCCCAGTAAATATTATGACTCCTGAGAGGAGGAATAATGTGACCACAGGAAATGTTTGTAGCGTATTGGCAAACCCAAACATGGAGTCAGAGTGCAGGGTGATCAGGCAGGCAAGTTACAATCCAAGCAGCTAGCCACAGCTGGAGGCACCAGCCAGGGTCAGTGCAGTGCTCTGAGAATTCTATGGTGTATGAAGACACAAGGACCGATGATAAAGCATCGATGACTGAGTGTTTGCCTGGTATGAAGAGAGCTTGTGTGTGTCTTGGGGTGAGTGCGTGATCAGTGACGGAACGGGACGTGATCACTACCACCCAACAAACGTATTTAGAAATAATTACAAACCCAGTGAAAGTGCGCAACATTTTAAAGTTGTACTTACAAGCGTAAAAGGATTACAGTTAGGTCTGCATCCAGTTTGAATCTTTATTTGTCTCGGACCTCTTGTTATTCAGAAAACTCTTGATCTTGACTCTCTGTTTGACCCCTATTGTGGTCGGACATTCTTTTTATTTTTTTAGCTCCACAAGATAAATGTTTTTTGTCTCTTCTGAGGCTCCGCCCTGAAAAACACATTACAATAAATGCTAACCAGGTGTAGCTCGTCTGCCCTGAGGTGTAAACATGGTTTGCCGTAAAGTGTTACTGCTTCATGCAAGATACATGATTTAAGGGGAGCAGTACGGTGACTCAGAAGTTGCAAGTGTGTTACTCTGGCCACAGGGGGGCGGAGGGGTCTGACTGACTTTACATTAACCCTGTAAAAGGGTCATTTTAACGCATACGGGCTCAGGAAAATTAATTCTAAAAATGAAAAAGATAATTTTCCTTTAAACATTGTTAAACTTTAACAATCACACATGCACACACATACCGATGCACACACACCTGCACAGTGGCCGTTTTAAGGAATACTAAACTCGATTATTGGATTGAGAATAGCATAAACTGAACCTTAATCCTAACGTTTACAAGCAGTTCATGCATTAACTAATCTTATAGTTAACTATAACCTGAGGTTTGGACGTCACCAGGGATGAGGTGTGTTGTGGGCTTCTAGCTGCCTTTTTTCAGTGGAGTGTGATTACACACAGTGCTGGACAGAAGAAAAAGTAATTTTTCTCATTTAGCTAATTTTAGAGCCACATTCTTGAGATTCGCTGGAAGGAAAGAAAAATAACCGAGCATCAGATTACAGTTTGAGGCATACCAGCTAGGTTTTTCAGGACATTACATTTAACTGCTGTATTGTTTTAATGCTGCAGACCGACTTCTCTAGTTCAGTATCAGTGCCAGATATGGGTGCAAAAGTATAAAAACTGCTGAATAGTAATTGCACCTTTTCTTCCTGTTGCTCTTCTATAACCCACTGAGAAATCTAAAAGTACACATCAGGATAAGAAATGGGTCCTGCTGTAGCTCCTGAAGAGTTTTGTGTGATTCTTAAACCTACACCAGAGCAAGCATGTGGTGCACACACCAGCTCACACCTAAAGCGCACACCAGGTGATAAAAGTGTCTGCAGTCTAGCACTGCGCCAATTATAACTCAGAACCAGAGCAGACACTGTTATGATCAATTATATCACTGGGAATGACCATATTAGCTGAGACAGTTTCTTTTATTACGCTGCAGCTTAGCAGAGGAAAACCTATAAAAGTGATTTAATTTGGAAGTTTCATAATCAGCTGTTGGTTTCAGGCGTGAGTGTGGTGGGAACCAGTTTGGAACTGGGATTCATGCAGATGTGGAAAGAGTTGCGTAACAAACATCAGACCCAAGATGGCATTGCATTAAGAGCTGCTTTCCTACCAGCTGTAACACCGGAACTCTTGTTGCCAAGTTGTGAAAAAAGTCTGTTAAAATCCTTTTTTTAAAGCTGAAATTATATTAAAAAAATACAAATAATAAATATTCCAACTAACTGAACTATCTGTGCAGCATAGGCTGGTTGATTTGATTTTTATTAACCTTTTAAACAGTGAATGCTCTTCTTTAGTAGCCAAATGCACCATCTGGGCATGGCTCCAGAGTTTGGAGAAAACAAGAATCCTGACTTGAATGAATAAGTTTGAACTGGCACGAGCATAAAGCCTTTTCCTGAGCTGCAGTTGGATGAACTTCTCTCAGAGTGCTTCGGGTCTTCGTGGCTTCTGAGAGCAGCGTTGTTGAAGTCACGGTGGCAGACTGACAGTGATGCGCAGAGAAGGATGTGGGTGAGGGGCAAGTTTGGAGGAATTAACAACGGTAACACAACGAGGCCAAGGAAGCGGGAGAAAGGCTCAAAGCAACCCCACAGATCCACAGATTAGAGTCTTGAATTATAGCATAATCTCAACTATCCACAGGGATTTTTGTTGTTTCTTCCTTCCTTTGGCTCCCATCCCTTCCAGCTTGACCCCAAAAGGACAAACATGGTTAAGTTGCTGAACAAAAATGTAGTTTTGACTCGTCAGATTTTCACTAGTTAAACACGTCTGCACCAAACTCATCATCACATCACATTTGATCTGATACTCCTGTGTGTTTGGGTCAAACTCGAACACTCCAGATGTGTGCTAGTGTGTGTTTGCACTCACTAATGTTTGTGTGTGTGTCTGAGTGAGTGGAAAGATTAAGACAAAAACACCAACATCTGCGCTGCAACAACGCCCCACTGAACCACATCTGCGTTGGAAATAAAATCAACATCATCTCAAAGACACATGAAAGAAAAAGCAGAACTACACCATCTATTGTTTTGTTTTAATTACCTAATTGGAAAAAAATTATAGCTAACAGATGCATTGTTGACAGAGAAGTTTGAATTACCCGTTAATTGTAAATGAGTCAAAAGTACTGGCCAATAAGAAAAAAGCATTTTCGACTGAGAACGAAGCGGAAATTGGAGCCATGAACAGTATTTTGTTGACATTCAAATGTAGCGCAAAGTAAATAAAAGATTAGATGAAGAGCTAAATAAGATACGAGATATTAATGCGTGGCCACGAGATACATTAAGTATCTCGTGGCCACCAATAATTTTTTTCCCCTCAATATCATCAGATGTGCACAGTAGTTTTATATTTCATGTTCAATAAATATTAAGAGCTTTATTGACTTATTTAATCTCTACTGCACACAGTGAGTGTTCAGTTGTCTTTCACAATCAATGTGCTGCTAAAACGTATTTACAGTACAGGCCAAAAGTTTGGACACACCTTCTCATTCAATGTGTTTTCTTTATCTTCATGACCATGGCCGTTTACAAAGGGGCCAACAAGTGCTAAACACTCTGGGAACTCCTTCAAGACTGTTGGAAAACCATCTCAGGGGACTACCTCTTGAAGCTCATCAAGAGAATGCCAAGAGTGTGCAAAGCAGTAACCAGAGCAAAGGATGGCTATTTGGAATAAAATAGAATATAAAACATGTTTTCAGTTATTTCACCTTTTTTGGTTAAGTACATAACTCCACATGTGTTCATTCATAGTTTTGATGCCTTCAGTGAGAATCTCCCAATGGTAATGGTCATGAAAATAAAGAAAACACATTGAATGAGAAGGTGTGTCCAAACTTTTGACCTGTACTGTATATATATATATATATATATATATATATATATATATATATATATATATATATATATATATATATATATATATATATATATCGGCCTTAATAATCGGCTTTAGATAACAAAATTAATTAAAATAGGTATTGGCGTCAGCCTTAAAAAAAAAACCAAAAACAACCATATCGGTCAGCCTCTACTATAAAGTCCTAGAGCTACACAACATTAGGGAAAATTGGTATAAATCTTGAATTTAACAATACTAAAATTTGCACTAAAATCTCATTTTCCTCTAATTTAGTTTATCATTAAAATCCCATCATCTCAGCCAAAAGCATCTACCAGTTGGTAAATGGGAAATCCGTCCGTTTTCCACCACTGAGTCATGGAGGGAAGCCCAGACAGGGCTGGGCATCGAGCATCGATTGGAACCGGTTCCAACTGTTCATTTTTCCCGGAATCGCTTAATGGTTTTTATTTAGATTCCTAGTTTCAATTCCTAGTATGCCGACAGAAGAGGAATCTGCGGCCGATCTCCGTGAAAAATAAACGTGATCTGCAAATTGTGATCAATGCTTTTCAACGCGTCTGCCGAACTTTTACTCAGTAATGTAAACTTTAACTCCTGCAGCGTAGAGGAAACTTGTTAAGATACGGCAACACGGTGGATTTAATAGAAGCTTTAAAGAACAAACTCTGGACGGTGTGAGGTGAGTCTGTCTCACTGCAGAAATAAAAACACACACGGAGCGTCAGAAGGCTGAACAATAACCTGCAGAATAATAAAAGTCATCATGCTAGAGAAGCTCATCTGTGGTGGACCACACCAGCTTCTGCCACAATAAATAATAATAATAATAATAATAATAATAATAATAATAATAATAAATCACACACAAAGTTGTGAACATTTAAATTTCCTTTCTGAACTATTTCTGTTGAGAGTTTTAATGTTTAAAATCTGTTAGATTGTTACTGACAGCAGCTACATTTAGGTTTCATTTTCTGTTCTGACTGAATGCTGCTGCAGCATGGAGGTGTAGTTCTCAGTCATCCTGGACATGATCATCCTGAGAGTTTTAGCTGAA